GTTTCTCTAGATAGCCCTGGCTATTTTAGAACTCACTCTGTAGATCAGGCTGCCCTCAAATTCACCTACTCTGTCTCACAGTGCTGAGACTAAAGGCATGTGCCATGTGCCACCATGTCTGGTTCCTTATTCTATTTTATTTTTGTTACAGGGTCTCAATAGATATTTCTGGCTGTCCTGGAACTAACTCTTAGACCAGGCTAGCCTTGAACTCATAGAGAAAACAAAACAAAAACAAAAACAAAAAAAAGAAATTATGTATATGTATGGGTGTTTTGCCTGAATGTATGTTCCAAGTGCATGCATACTGTTCCCATAGAGACCAGAAGAAAATGCTAGATCCCCTGAACTGGAGTTATAGATGGTTGTAAGTTGCCATGTGAGTGCTGGGAACTGAATCTGTGTCCTCTAGAAAAGCAGCCAGTGTTCTTAACTACAGAGCCATCTCTGCAGCCTTTTAATCATCTTTTCATTTTGAAACAGTGTCTCACTATGGATCTCTGCCTGGCTGGAGGTCCCTGTATAGATCAGGCTGGCCTGGACTAAAGGTGTGTATCACACACCCAGTATTATAGTTTTCATTCTATTCTCTTTTCTCCCCAGACAGTCTCATGTATCCCAGGCTGGCCTTGAATTGACTAGCCAATGATGACCTTGAACTTCTGATCCTCCAAGTGATGGTTTTACAGGCATGAACCCCCACACAGTGCCTTTAATCTTAGCATTCAGGAGCAGAGAGAGACTGGTCTCTGTGAGAAGGCCTGCCAGGACTATGCAGTATGTATGACTGTTTCAAAATAAAGAATCTGGAGAGATGGCTCAACGGTCAAGAGACACACGGCTTTTATTGAAAACCTAACTAGGGTTTTGCATAAGCTAGGCAGGCACTCTACCAACCGAGTCTCACCCTCAGCCCAGCTTTTCAGTTTCTGGAGCCAGGGTCTCTCTGTGTAGCCCAGCCTCAGAGTGCCACAGGTGCAAGTCACTGCACACAACTGGGACTTGTCCCTTTCTGTGCTGTTTACAGCCTGCATATCTTTTCCCTGTAGTCTCAGGTCTCACTGGCACTTTGTGAGTAGCCTCCCCCAGGGGCGAAGTGATAACTCCTACAAGTAAGCTCTGCACTGGGGAGGGAGACCCAGCTGTAAATGTTCTCTTCTTCCTATTCCCCGCAGGGGATTTCGAAGGAGGGGTCCCTTATCGAATTACGGTGACTACAGTGTCCCCTGGGGGATTAGCTGCCTCACCCTCAGTTTGGGGATTCATTCAGGAGTTAGGTAAGTGGTAGGACGGGAGGATGAGGGTGGACCTCTTGGAACTGCAGTAGATACTGTCACACTGGGTTTCTTCACAGTACCCCTGGCTGGGCCAGCAGTTTGGCGACTCCAAGATGACCCCCCAGGGACACCTGCAGTAGCATGGGGAGAGGTACCAAGACACAAGCTCCGAGGCTGGGCCACACACTATACCTTGTGTGTACAAGGCAGAGACATCCCCACTGTCTGCATGAACGGTGAGTTTCCAGCCTCCTGTCCCTTCCTCTATCCCCAAAGATCCACCTATCACCCACCCTGTCCCTATATTCCCAGCTCCTGGGAATTCTGTCACCAACTTCCCAGAGGACAATAGCAGTCCTGACTACTGCTGAGACATTAAAGATGGAGACGCCAGAGTATTCTCAATCACAGTAATGAATATCTGTCATATTTCATTAAGTGACAAGTATAAAAAGGATTACAGATTCTGAGATGGCTTTGTTTTTTAGAAAAAGAGGCCCAGCACTGGGCAAAGCCGAGTTTCAAATATGCCAAGAAATGGATTGCATTTTAGTTCCTTCTGTTACCCTTGAGATAGGCTAATGTTTACTATAATAACAAATTCCTGAGGCTGGACAGAAGTTCAGCAGTTAAGAGCACTGACTGTTCTTGCAGAGGTCCTGGGTTCGGTTCCCAGCATCTACATAGCCACAAACAGCTTCTGATCTCAGGCCTCAGAGGATCTGACACCCTCTCCTGGTCTCCACTGGCACTGCATGAACATACTCATTAAAAAAAAAATCCAGAACAGGCTCCTTTTTAAAAGCATTGTTACTGGGTTGGGGCTTTGCCTCAGCACAAAGTTCCTGTCTGGAATTCCCCAATGAAGGGCTGGGGCGTGGCTCAGCAAGTGTCCAGCATGTACAAGGCCCTGGGTTTTATCCCCATCGCTGAAGAAATAAAACCATTATTCCTTCCTTCCTAATTATAAAAGTTATCTGAGCTTGTTACAAAATCTGACTCACGGGCCTGTGAAATGGCTCACCAAATTATTACCGCTGCCATTGACTCTGACCGCCTGAGTTCAATCCCTGGAACCCACATGGTAAAAGGAGAGCACCAACTCCCACATGACCGCCACACTTAGGCCATCACTAGGTGAATAGTAACCGGTCAACATAGGGACACCCAGGGACATCAGCATGTCCTCTTGCTCCTCATTCAGAAAGTGCATCTTTGCCCAATACTGTGCGCATGTAGTTACAGTGGGTTTGTGGAACCTGAGTTTTTTGTCTGTTGAGACAGAGTCTCTCCTTTGATCTTAATCTGACCTGGGAATTGCATTCTGAGGAACTGGAATGACAGGCCCACACATCTGTGTCCTTGACCATTCCTTCCCTCAGTGCTTCCTTCCTTCCTTGGGGATCAAACTCAGGGCCTTGTGCATTGGAAGCAAGCACTCAGGCAGCTGATTTCCCAATGGAAAATTCACAGACACAGACAACCGAGATAACGTCTAATCAGCTGCATGGCGATTAGAGCTGGGCATAAAACGAGGGTCCGTTTTAAATGAAAGGTCAGAAGATTGGTTAAGGAAGTGGCACTGGACAAAATTTACAGGCCAGGGGCTATGAGATGGCCCCTACCACGAAGCTCAAGACCCCTACGGTGGAATGGGTGGCAAGAAATGGCCTCTGACCTCCTTGTGTATGACATGGCATGCATGTGGGCATGCCCCCAGGAAATAATACAATGTCACATAAGTAAATGAAGAAGACTGAGACAGAGCCATGTGGAAAGTTATGGAGGAAAGAGCATGTCCCAGGGCCATTGCTCCCCAATGTCTTTGGTTGTGTCCTTCAGTGAGCAGTAACACCCAGACTGTCACTCTGCCTACCCTTCACTGGGGTTCCTTCGAGCTGTGGGTGATGGTGTCCACTGTTGCAGGACAGGGCCCACCGGGTCCCAGCCTTTGGCTTCACCTACCAGGTATGAGGTGGGGATGGGGCTGCCTGCCCACTTCTGGCTAGGGGTGTCTTTAAGTCATAACACGGGCTTCAGTGGTGGATAGCTTCTGATGGAGAGGATTATGTACAGGATAGTACTGAGGATGAAACCCAGGACCACACCCCAAGTCTGCCTCGGGATGCTTTGCTTCTTCTAAATGCTATTGTATTATCCAGCGATGTATGTCTGGGACAGCAAACCCCCAACCCTAACTTTGCCTGTTGGCACACCTCTATACCCCTAAGTCTCACCCTCTTCTTCGGAATGGCTGCCCCCTCAGTCCCACTCATTCCCCGGACTCCTTGTTCAAGAGGGCTGCCTAGTCCCACCTATCCTCCCCACCCACAGATAATGAGGTCAGGTGGAAGATTCTGCCTTGGGTCCTGTCCCTGTGTGGCTTGTTCCTGATGGGCTGTGGCCTGAGCCTGGCCACTACCAGGTAAGGCTTTCAGGTATGGGATCTCTATCCTGGTGGGGGTTCAGCAGTTAGGCCTTGGATGGGTGGCCTCGGGGCTCAGGAAGTTCATGGATTCTAGCAATATGTTTGCACTGGGTCCCTGCTGGCCAGGTGCCTCCACCAGCGATACAAGTTGTTTCCCCAGTGGATCTGGGAGAGGGTTCCCGACCCTGCCAACAGCAATTCTGGGCAGCCTTACATAAAGGTGAGAAAATGCCAACTGTGGGAGCACCATTCTCCAACTGGGGGATGCTGGGGCAAGTGGGGGGTGGACTACTGAGTTTCAAGCCTGCATCTCCCCAGGAGGTGAGCCTGCCCCAGCCTCCCAAGGACGGACCCACCCTGGAAGTGGAGGAGGTGGAGCTGGAGGCTGTTATTGAGCCCCCTCCAGCCTCTGCCCCTCTTCACTCTGGGTACGAGAAGCACTTCCTACCCACACCCGAAGAGCTGGGACTTGGGCCTCCGGCCCCTAGGTTCTAGCCCATTCTGCTTCAGGCTGGGGGCTGTGTCCCTTCTTGGATTAGACGTCTTTATTTTTAGTTTTCTGAGATGGGAGCTCACTACGTAGCCTTGGCTGGCCTGGAACTCACATTCACCTGACTCTGTCTCCATGTATGGAAATTAAAGGCTGTGCCACCATGCTGTTGTTTTCTTTATTGTGTCAGAGTCTTGATATGTAACCAAGGCTGGTCTCAATCTGTGATCTCCCTGACGCAGCATCCCCAGTGCTGGGACTACAGGTGTGTGCCATCTCACCCAGTCACAACCTTTGATTCTAGTAAGATCAACTTCCAAGCAGCATATAAGGAGGTGATTCCATGTCAAAAGACACATGCGAGGGGCTGAAGAAATGGCTAAACAGTTAAGAGCCCTTGCTTTCTTGCAGAAGACCACAGTTTGGTTCCCTGGCCTTGCAGAGGACCCAGCCTCAGTTCCCAGCACCCACAGCATGGCTCAAGAATCACCTGGCACTCCAGTTCTAGGGAATCCAACACCTCCGGGTGGCCTCCGTGAGCACTGTACTCACACACATAAAAAATAAAAAAATAATAAATACATGAATGAGTAAACAAGCCAGGCAGTGGTGGCGCACGCCTTTAATCCCAGCGCTTGGGAGGCAGAGACAGATGGATCTCGGAATTCAAGGCCAGACTGGTCTACAGAGTGAGTTCCAGGATAACCAGGACTACACAAACAACCCGTCTCAAAAAAAAAAAAAAAAAAAAAAAAAACCCAAAAACAAAACCGAAAACCAAAATAAAAAAGACATACAGTCAGGCTTCCAGAGTGCCTTAACATTTAATTTTCAAGTATAAAGGCTTCATTGCAGAAGGGAGTCAGGGCCACAGGCAGTGGGCAGGGTGTCTAAAAGCCCAGGTGTAAGTAAACACAGGGGCCTGCTGGCTGCTGGGTACCAACAGTCCTATGGTACCCTGTCTGTGCCTGGGACCTTCTGCTGGATGCCAGGCTGCGAGGTAGCTGTGAGAGGAGTAGGGTGCTGGGCATCAGGCATAGGCTCACATGACCACACAACACTGGCACGTCTTTTGCTTAGGGCCACTAGCCTCTTTGGCCTCAGCTAGCTCAAGCTGCCGGGCAGGTGCATAGGTAGGTGCAGGGTGATCACCGGGGTTGGTGCTGGACACCTCCTGATGGAGCAGTGGCTGGCCTTCCACAGGTTGCTCCAGGCCTGGGGTCTCTGCTAAGAGGGGGGTGGCGTCCCCGGGGGGACCCTCACTCTCAGCACAGGGCTGAGGCTCCCTGGCTGGCTTTTCTATTGATCCTTCTTGCTTCTCCGGGCCTTGCAGTTCTTGACCCTGTGATGCAGGCTCCTCCTGGACCCGAAGTGGGGTTCCTGGCTGGCTGGCATCCTCCACCGGAAACTCTGCTGCTTCGTTGGCTTTGCCTTGCTCTTGTGGACTCTCCTTGCCCTTGGCGCCTGGGGTCTTCTCTTCCTCTGATAATGGCTCACTGCCTCCTGGCTCCTCATCCAATGGCTTCTCGCTTCCTTTAGTTTCTCCATCCAGTGAGCCCTCACCTCCTGGCTCCTCATCCAATGGCTTCTCGCTTCCTGTAGTTTCTCCATCCAGTGAGCCCTCACCTCCTGGCTTCTCATCCAATGGCTTCTCGCTTCCTGTAGTTTCTCCATCCAGTGAGCCCTCACCTCCTGTCTCTCCTTCCAATAGTTCCTCACTTGTTTTTGACTCTCTGTCCAATGAGCTCCCACCATCTCCCTCCTGGTCCAATGGCTTCTCACTGCCATTTCTCTTTGGCTCCAGTGGGCCCTCTGGTTCTGTCTGTGCCACCGATGGCTTCTCAGTGGTGGCTGGTTCCTCCTCGCCCCCTTTTCCTACTTCCGGTGACTCTTCATCGTCCTTCACTTTCACCTCCTGCTTTTCCTCATCTGCTACCTCGGCCAGAAAGGAGCCCTCGCTGCTGTCTCTTCTCACTTTTTCTGCCTGGCTTTCCTCTCTTCCCTGGGCTGGCTCGGGCACTTCAGCCACCCCACCCCTCTCTATTCTGAGCTTTTCTGCCGTTCCCCTGTCTTCCATGGCCTCTGATTTCGCCATTTCTCTCTTCTCCGCCTCCCAGGACCCTTCACTCCCATTTGGCTGTGCCCCCACACACCCTGCCCCTGGGGGTGCTTCCAAGCCCTCCATCAAAAGCTCCTCCCAGTCTTCGCTGAGGGCTGCTCTCTCTACCCAAATGAAGGACCCCTCCTCTCCTCCAGGGCCCCCCTGCCCAACACCCTCAGGACTATCTCTAGAAGTACCTTCCTCTTTTCTGGAAACTTCTGCCTCAAATTGCTCCTGGAGCCTCAGGGAACTGACTTGTGTGGCCTCTGCATTCTTGGCTGACTCCCCTGTGACATCCGGGTCACTGCCTCCCAGCCCCTCCCAAACCACCTCCACCACAGCCTTGCCCTCCTTCACCCAAGTGGGGAGCTCAGGGCTGCTGGTGCCCTGCCTGGCCCCAATGGCCCCCAGAACCACTTCTTCCACCTTAGCCTCCAGCTCTACGCCTGTAGGGTCTGTGGCACTGTTCTCGGTGGCTCTAAGCCCAGCCCAAACCACCTCCACCACACCATCTCCTTTGGCCTTAGTGACACTCACGGCCCCTAGGCTCAGCTGCTCTGGGCAGGGGCCATTGGCTTCTGAAGAGGCCCCTATGCCCTCAGGGGATGGCCTCAAGGCTGGCAGAACCTCAGTGAGCGCCTCCCTGGGATCAGAGGGGGACTCAGGGGACAATCCCACTGGACCAGCTGGCAGGGAAGTTCTCTTGTCCACTTCAGTGAGGCCTGGGGGAATCAAGGGAGAGAAAGACAGGGAGGTCAGGACAGTGGGGGACAAAGAGGACCCTCATCCCAGATGTTTTGGGTCAAGTGATCTGGAGATACACTAGACCTGGGATTCCAATACTTACTTGCAGAGCCTGCCTCCATGCTGGGCTGAGAGAGAGGACGGGGACCCTGCAAAGAGAATAGAGACAAGGTCAAATTGGCCCTGGTTTCTACCTCCCAGATGTTTGAGCTCCGCCTGCTTAATCAATGCCATGTTAATGCTTCCTTGGCCAGTTTCTGAGGTTACCATAGACAAAGGATTTGGGGGGGGGGAAGTGCTGGGATGGAACCCAGGGCCTGGTGAGCACAAAGCCAGTGCAGTACAGCTGAGCCATAACCCTAACCTGAAAAGACCTGATACAATCAGACTTAAGTTCCAATGGGAAGAGGAAACTAATAAACATATCAACAACAACAACAACAAAATACACAATGCTGGCACAAGGTAACAGGGACAGGGGTGGGGTGGGGGAAGGAAGCAGTGATGGGAAGAAGCAGGGAGAAATCTGGGGGGGGGGGTGACTGTTTCCTATGGAGACATGCCTGGGCAGGGTTTCTGGAGGAGTGCAAAGTGGGGTATGCTCTGTCCAGAGTGCTCTGTTGGAGAACATTGTTCCAGGCTACATTGTAGAATATTATTAAGATGTGCTACATTTGTTAATGCTGTGAAACATTTGTTTAATGCTGCAAAGATGTGTTGCATTCTTTTATGTTGCATTTGTTTAACTCTGTGAAACAGTGTTACTTTGCCTGTCTAAAACACCTGATTGGACTCCAGGGGCCAGGTACCCAGCTACACAGCGAGTAGTGAGTAAAGAAAGGTATACAGACATAGAGCATGGTAAAAAGCCCAGAGGCAAAAGGTAGACAGGTTAACTTAAGAAAATCTGGCTAGAAACAAGCCAAGTTAAAGCTGTGCTTTTATAAGAAAGAATAAGTTTCTGTGTGATTTATTTGGGAGCTGAGTGGTGGGTCCCCCAAACAGCCAAAAATTAAAGAGGAAACAAACAAACAAACCCCAACCAATTACAAGACTAAGGAAACAGCACTGCTCTGGTGGTCTAGACAGGTAAAGGGAATAGAAAAGAGGCAGTGTGGCCATGGCGTGCCAGAGAAAGACTGGGGCAGTTGCATACAGCTGCAGGCATACAAACTCCCTTTGTGATCAAGCCTCTAATCCAACCACTGGAAAACCAGGAGTTCAAGGTTAGACTGGGCTAGTATTTAAATTATAATCTCACTGGCCCCTCTCAAAGGCATTTCTGAGTTGGTATTCCTGTTTTAGTGATAGGGCAACTAAGGTCTAGACAAGAAAATCAACTTGCACAAGAACACAGAGCAAAATAACAGTGAGTGGGTTTGACTGCACACAAAGGCAGAGGCTGCATTTGAGAGCACACCCTGCTGGTCACACCCCCTCCTCCTCACCCCTTTCAGCCCCTCCTCACCTCTCTACGCCAGGTGGGCCTGCCAGCAGGTCTGTGCTGGGCACCTGTGGACGCACTTTGCAACAGCTGCAGCTGTGACTGGAGTCTGCGGGAGACAGAGGAGGTTGCTGGAAGCAGGGCCAGACTAAACCTCCTCCTTTTCTGAGGGCTATCAAAGGCTGGGGCATGGCTCAAAAGAAGGGATTCCCGACTCACGAAAACAAGCTGTCTTCCAGGTTACGAATTCGAGCCTGGGCCTGTCCCTCAGGCGACTGTGGGTCCTTGGAGGCCAGGTCCTCTGGCCGCTCTGGCCCTTCAGCCGCCCCATCCATGAGCCAACGTTCTCGGAGAGATTTCCTCTGGGCATGGAAAGGGAGTTCGAGCTGGCTGCGGGAAGCCTTCCTCCCACCCATTGCTTGCAACCACCCAGAGGGCACATCCATCAGGATAGGAGATGTGCTCATATCTCGTCCCCCAACACCATGCTAGCAAGCAGCCTTCCTAAGCAGAGGCACACCAACCATCATCCTTCCAGCCGCCCAGTCAACTGACCCTGTCAAGCTCAGAAAGACCTCCCAATGCGCCCCTCTCCACCCCAGCGTTGGCCTAAGACTCCTCTCAACACTGCCAATCTCGGAGAAGCCCTCCACCTTCTCAATACTCTTCCAGAGTGGTGCAGCTGTCTCCATGCCCACCTTTCCCCCGCCTCCTCTTCATCTCCCCCTCCCCAAATTGGACAGAGGTTCCTATTGTTTCTCAGCCGGCCTCACATAGACACCCCCACTTCACTACCCGGGGCTGGACGGGAGTCCCCAACCTTGAGTCGCTCCACGCGGAGTTTCTCCTCCTCCAGCTCGCGACGCGCAGCGCCGATCTCCTCCTGCAGCCGCCGCTTCTCCTGTGCACGCACAACCCAGAGTTAAGGGCAGGCCCAGTGCCGCCCTTCGCCCGCCTCCTCGGGGCTCCCGGGACTCCCGGGGCGTCCTCCCGCGGGCGGGGGCCGCAGAGCGCTGACTCAGCAGCAAGAGGGGCGGGGCAGGACCAGGCGGCCGCGCCCTGATGCTGCGGAGGCCAGGCCCACGCCCAACGGTGGTCCGCAGAGGGGGGCGTGGGGCGGGGCTTAGGAATGGGGACTAGGGTTTTGGACTTCTAAGATGGAGAGGATGACCAAGCGAGGTTCTCACGTTTGTAACCCCAAGTCTCAGGAGGCGGTGTGTGTGTGTGTGTGTATTGAAACAAGGTTTCTTTGTGTAATCCTAGCTGCTGTCCTGTTTGTAACCCCAAGTCTCAGGAGGCGGTGTGTGTGTGTGTGTGTGTGTGTGTGTGTGTGTGTGTGTGTGTGTGTGTATTGAAACAAGGTTTCTTTGTGTAATCCTAGCTGCTGCCTGGACTCAATCTGTACCAGGCTGGCCTCGAACTCACAGAGATCTGCCTGCCTCTGCCTCCTGAGTGCTGGGATTAAAGGTGTGTACCACCACCTCCCAGCCAAAAAATTCTTTTAAAAGGGGGGTGAAAGGGTTCAAAGATATGTGGGTTTAGACATAGGGAACTTGCCAGTGAGATGCAGTTCAAAATGGGGGTGCAGAGGCGGTTCAGAGAGACACAGACATAGAGGTGGGGGCAGAGATGGGGTACAAAGATGGAGATGTGGTAAACTGGGGTGCAGAGGTTGTGTTCAGATGTGAATGAGGCAACAGTTCAATGTACCCAACTTAAAGTTGCCGTACTGAGGAATCAGGTCCAGAGAAATGGGGTGGAGGTTAGTAAGGTGGAGTACAAAAAAAGAGAGTTAGAAAAATGGAGGGTTACAGCAAGTGACCAGAGACTTGGCGTGCAGAGGGGCTCCGGGGTTGCGGTACAGAAAGTTGGAGTGCTAGGAGGTAAAGTCTGAGATGAAGTGCAGAAAGATGCGGTGCAAAGAGCAGAAGTTGGGACAATGGAGCACAATGGGTCAGAGATCAAGGGTGCAGAGACACGACATGGAGGTCAGGGTTCAGGGTTGAGATAGAGAAATGGGTTTAGAAAAGGCTCTAAAATGTAGGGTGCAGAAATATGAAGTGCAAAGTTGGTTTGGAGAATAGAGGTGCACAGTGGTAGTCAGAAATAGGGCGTACAAAGCCAAGGATGCAAAGAGCTGAGGTCCAGAAATAGGCTGCAAATGAGGAATGGCTGCAAAAGGGTTGTCAGAGAAAGGACTGTGGAGGTAGGAGGCACACAAAAGAGACCAGAAGGGCAGAGCTCAGAGGGTGGGGTTCCCTAAGAAGGACTCCAAGGGTGGGGTGTGATATATGGAGATCTAAGGGGTAGGGAGCTTGAGTGGCATTGGAGGAGGTGTTTCTGCACGTGACAAATGACACCCTCCATGCAGCCAGTGACGAGGACCAGACACACAGGAGTTGCCTGAGGAGTGCCCTGGAAAGGCTGGAGCTGAAGGTGCAGCTCAGTTCTTCACAGAGCCATACTCGCTTCCTATGGGGTAAATATTCCCTACCCAGATGGAGCAGGGCAAGAAGCAGCCTGAAGAACATTTGGGATTCTCGAGGTTCTGTGTGACACTTACGGCGATGACCTCCAGCCGCTGCCGATAGAGGGCGCTCTCCGCCATGACCCTGTGGGAAAGAGTGGCGGGGCTGAAGTGGGGATCCTGGGGATCCCTCAGCAGACAGGCTCCTAAAGGACCTTTCCTAATTAAGAACCCTGGGATGCCAAGAGAAGAGCCCAGCACTTTGCCTGTTTTCCCCTCTCCACCAGGAAAGATGACAGACCATGATCAAGCTACAGCTGGGTCTCACATCTTTCTCAGCCTCAGTCTCACCTGTGAAACCAGCAGGGATAGCTTCATCCCTATTGTGTAAGAATACAATTAAAGCAATTTCCACACTTAATACAATTTATACTTAACTACAGTAACTATTCTTACAGGCTCCCATAGTCATTCTCAAGTCCTGCCAGACTCCAAATATGCTGGTCTCTTGCTAGCCCCATGCCTTCTCTGAACCTTAGCTCCCACCCTTAAGCACTAGGGTGTGGGGTATGAGGGAATGTGAGGGAGAGAAGTGACCATTAAACCATTGCCATGGTAACTCCACAGCTGTCTCTTTACTTGTCTACCACTGGGGGCAAGGGTCACTGGACCATCCTGCCTAGCTGTGGACTTTGAGCTTCAAGGAGGGGGATTTGAGGTTTACCCTTGTCTTAACTGAAACCTGTGAGCACCCTGCTTTCCCACTCCCAGGGTCCCCTGTACCTTCATTTAGGTACATCGTTAAAATAGCACGATCACTGGCCAGCACAGGTGTGGGGCTGTGTTAGCCCCACTTCAGCCAATGGTTAGAAAGGGGTATCAACTAGGCTGTCCTCAATGCCAGACAGGGTGGGCACAAATATCTTTAAGTGGTTTATTAATTTAAATCCTAATACATCGGGGAAAGAATCCCAGCACCACTGTCCACGTTCCAGTCCTCTCAGATCCTCCCGCCACACCCTGAAGGCATAACAGTGCTATTTATAGTGTCCTAAGTGCCCTGCAGGGCTTCCGCTAACCACAGCCACCCCTGCTCAGGCTCCACCCCTCACCATTTGCTGGCTGTAATCCGCTCTCCCATCTGACATTCCAGCTAAGAACAGACAGGGCCAAAGTAGCCACAAGCCACGTGCCTGTCAGGCTGTGAAATGACCTATCTGTGGAAACACTTAATTTTCCCCATGATCCTATGAGGCAAATAGCACAACATTCCCATTTCCCAAAGGGGAAACTGAGACTTTGAGGAGTAGCAAAAAGTTTTGTCCAAGGCTGGGGACAATGACCAGTGAGCAGATGCTCAGAAACAGCTCAAACTTGTTGCCTTGGCTCTGCTGCTGCAGCAGGGTAGCCTGGAGAGTGCAGTAGTGACAGGAGCCTGTGTCAAACATGGCAAGAGCTGAAGACCACACAAGGTTGTCCTCTGCTCACACTCACACATATACAAACATGCATATGCACACACACTCTTACACATACACACTCGCACAATGCACCCACCCACACACACTGTACACACTCTCCCACACATACCCACGTGCTGCATTCACTCACACACTCACATACATGCATTCACTCACATATTCACACAGTCACATACGTAAACACACACAGCACAAGACTTGTCCAAAGTCAGAAAGGCAAATGTGAATATGAAGCATACTGGCAACGCACAGTTCAGGGTTCAGGGCCTCCAGGGACCTTCCTTTGGATAGCCACAGGAGGGAGGCCAGACACCCTCTTAGAGGTGGGGACTTCAACTAGAGCAGGGGCTGAAGGTCACCTGACAGGTGTCCTTAGGGAAGTTTAGACTCTGGTTCATCGCTCTGTCCCTGAGTGAGGGCTGAGTCCCCTCAGCTGTCCCACTCCGAAGATGCTATCTCCCTAACTCTTCCTGGGGGGGGGGGAGTAGATCGGGTTCCCGTTGCTAAGCAACCAGGGTTGTACTTGGTGAATAATGCAGTGGAGGGCATAGGAGAGTGAAAGACGGAATTGGGGTTCCTAGTAGAGAGAAACCCTCTTTCTGGAAGTTTCTATAATCCCTTGGAGCACCTCTGGCCATCCCTTACAGGGATGGGACCAGACTCATAATAGGCAAGCACTGGCGACTGAACCCAGCTTCTCTCACTTTGAAAAGCCCTCAGCTAAGGTGAACTCCCCACACCTTCCTGCACATCACCTACTCCAAGGTCGTGTCTCAGCCAGGACTTTGGTACAGACAAGGAGCGGAAGGGTGATCATTCCCTCCTTACGACTTTGTCAGTCTTTGGAAGCTGGAGCGCTTCCTTCCTTCCTGGATTCTGCAAACTTGAGGGATTTGGTGGCAGGGACTAAACTTGTATGCACATTCTTGGACCCTAACATTCTCTGTCCCCCTAACTTTGCAGTAGGCCCAGCTCTCTGGGGAAGGGGCTCTCAAGGAGTCCCAGGTTTGGCCGCCAGCACCCCTTGCTTTACTCTAGGCTCCTTAGGGGAGGCCAACTGGGACTCCCAGGTTAGGCCGGCGCCTCCCCCCACCCATCTTTCCACCCTGCCCCCCACTTGCCCCAGACACTTACATGGGTGTGGCTGTGGCCGGAGACAACACCGAGGTCTGCAGGGCCATCTCTGCCCAGTAGCCCTCTCGCGTGTGAGCCGAAGCGCCCCAGTCTGGGCCTTGGCTTGTGGGAGGGGGCTGCGGGGCGGAGCGGGAGAGCAGGTCCGGCTGGTTTGGGCGGGAGGCGCGGCCGGCTGGGACTGGGGCAGTGCTGGGGAACGCTATCAACTTCTCAGGATGAATTATTTACCAGCCTCCGGCCTCCACGCTGCACTCCGCTGCCTCCCAGTTCACACGCACGCAGTCACGCCGATGCTCCAGCAGGTGGGGGAGAGCGGCCAAGCACTGACCCGCGGCCGCCCAAGACCGCGCGCCTGCATTGGGCACTCAGGCATGAAAGTTTTAGTAAAAGCCCAGGGTCACTGGCTCCCTTCTAGGACCCTGGAGCAGGAGGGAGGGAAAGCTCTCTAACTCAGCTTCCGGAGACCATGGCAACTAAGAAGCCCCGGATGAGGGTCATTGTGGGCAACTGGCATCAGGTTTCAAGGCCTCAGTTTGCCTCGTTGTAAAATGGGAGTATAAGTTCAAACGGCCTGCAGATTTGAAGATCCTGTTGTATTGTATAATGTTTAGAGATGGGGTAGAAGTAAGAATGGGCAGGGAGATGGCCTCCGACTCACTACTGAGGGTGCCTTTCCTTTGAACTCTTGAGTGCTGCCATGATAGAACTACACAATCAGACCAGGTTTGGTCTTCACCCTGAGAGAGCAGCCCTGGTCTGTTTCTTAGGGGCTTCAGAGGAATTCTGAGCAAGGACCTTCCCCACCAGCCTGAGTGGCAAGCTCACCTACTACACCCAAGCCTTTCTGGTCCTGACTGCTTCAGGGCTCAATGCACACCTTTGGCTTATAAGATGGAGGTCTCAGCCGGGCGTTGGTGGCACATGCCTTTAATCCCAGCATTAGGGACACAGAGGCACGCGGATCTCTGCGAGTTCGAGGGAAGCCTGGCCTACAGAGTAGTTCCAGGACAGGCTCCAAAGCAATATAGAGAAACCCTGTCTCGAAAAAACAAAATAAATTAACAAATAAAGGTCTCCTGCATACACAGGCTCTGCCACATTGGACGGGGGCTGTCATCAAGGGCTGTTGCCTCCTATGTCCTAAGACCTGAGCCAGGCCTGACTTGGGACCCCACTTGAGGGTTGAGGGAGGAGAATGGCAAAGTTAAGCCTTACCTGGATTACAGAATGGGTTAAAAATTGGCCTGAGCACCAATGGCCCACCTCTTTAATCCCAGCACTTCAGCAGCACAGGCAGGAGGATCTCTGAGTTCCAGGCCAGTCTGGTCTTCAGTGAGTTACAGGACAGGCTTCAGAACTACACAGAGAAACACTGTCTTGAAAGAAACCAAAAATAAATAAATAGACAAATAAATAAATAAAGGGGGGCTCTCAACATGTGATTTAGTGGTAGAGTGCTTGTCTAGCATACACGAGGCCCTAGATTTAATTTCTAGTATAGGAAGAAAAAAAAAAAAAGCTGAATTTGAGTTTCCAGATCATTCTGAAAATATATTTCCATGATGGGAAAAGAGAACACATATGAGTGTATATATGAATACATATTTGTGTGTTGGAGTAGAACATGGTAGGTAAACTGTCTACCACAGAACCAGGCACCAGCCCTTGTTTTATGCATGTCTGTTCTTCTGCACAGAGGGAGGGGCTGGTGTCACCATCTCTACCTTATTTCCTGAGACAGGGCCTCTAACCGAGCCAGAGGATGGTCTACTTGCCTAGCTAACTGACCAGTAAGGCTCAGGAATACACCTGTCTCTGTCTCCACAGTGCTGGGATCAGAGACATGTTCCCACACACGCCACACAGGCTCCCACACACACACAAGATCCCACACACATAGGCTCTTACAAACAGAGGTTCCAGCATAGGCTTTTTGTTTGTTTTGGGGTTTGGTTTTGTTTTCGAGATAGAGTTTCTCTGTTTAACCTTACTGGCCTGGAACTCACTCTGTAGACCAGGCTGGCCTCGAACTCATAGAGATCCACTTGCCTCTGCCTCCCAAGTGCTGGGATTAAAGGTGAGTGCCGCCACCGCCTGGCAAATGATTTTTTAAAAACATTTTTCATTTATGGAAGTTAGGACACTTACACTAACAGACAGCCCTCACTTCTATCTAGGCCAAGACCATTTCCAGCTGGGTGGTGATGGCATACACACACTTGGGAGGCAAAGGCAGGTGGATCTCTAAGTTTGAGACCAGCCTGTTCCACAGAGTTAATTCCAGGATATCCAGGGCTACACAAGGAAACCCTGTCTTGACAAACCAGGAAAAAAAAAAAAAAAAAGCACCTCCAACACCCCAGAAGGAAATCCTATCCCCATAGCAGTCACCCCTTATAGCTCCCACCCCAGGCAAACACCTCCTGCACCTGTCTGTGGTTAGCCTGTTCTGTTACACACACACACACACACACACACACACACACACACAGAGGCATTGACAATGTAGCCTTATGTATCAGGTCTGTCTCATTGAGCATCTTTCTTCTTCTTCTTCTTCTTCTTCTTATTATTATTATTATTATTATTATTATTATTATTATTTTGCAAGTTCCCCGAATATCCCAAGATAGTTTCAAAATAAAAGAGGGCTTTGCTGTTCTGACCCTCCTGCCTATACCTCCTGAGCACGGGGATTGCAGGAGTGTGCCCCGCACCTGGCTAGCATCCTGTTCTCAGCTTGTCCACAATGGCAACAATCAGTTTTTCATGTCTCTTTATGGGTAATTTCACTGTGTGGATGATCTACTTTTTTCCCCTAAGTTTTAAAAATAGTGTGTGTGTGTCTGTGTGTGTGTGTGTGTGTGTGTGTGTGTGTACTCATATGCCATGACTTGAATATGGAGGTCAGACAACAACTTCAGAAGCTGCCTCTCTCCTTCTACTGTTAGGGTCTTTGGTGTTGAATTCAAGTCACCAGGCCTAACAGCAAGCACCTTACCTGTTGGGACATCTTGCTGGCCCCACGTTTCTTTTTTACTTTTATTTATTTATTTATAATTTATTTACTTATTTATTCTGAGGTAGGGTCTTATTGTGTAGCACTGGCTGACTCAGTGCTACACAGAGCCAAGCATGTAGAGAAAGCTGGCCTCAAACTCATGAGAACCCCCAAACTTGTGTCCTGAGTGCTAGGATTAAAGATATACACAGTACACATAGAGAGAATTTTGCTTTTATGGGGGTAGATAAGGGCTCTGCCACCCAGATAGGTCTTTAGCTACTCAATGGGGGATTCTCTGCACAAGCTCTACTATTGAGCCTGCTCCCAAAGCCCTGTGGCTGAGTTACTGAGCAGGATTAGGATTTCTAACGCATGGTAAGTGCCTAGCAAACATGTACCTGAAACATGGCATTTCAGTTGAGCCCTGAGCAACAGGAAGCAGCCCTGGGCTGAGCTGTTTGAAGCAGAGGGAGAAGCCAGGCAGAGGCACCATGCCCCCCAGGGGTGTTGGGAGGAGGAGGATGGGATGGACTGTGGTTAAAACATGACCCTTGCGGCCCAGGGTTGGGAATTTGGGTTTTTATTTCAAGTCTGATGACCCCCTTTAGAGTGATAGGTGTTGGATGGGACAAAACTGGGGAAAAGAATATAAAGCAAGAATATGCTTCAAGGCAGAAACAATGGGGTTCAAAGACATGCCAAAAGGAGGAGGCGGCAGGAAAGCTACTCCTGGGAGCTTTGGTTTGGTTTTAGACACGGTGTAGCCCAGGTGGACCTGGAACCCTCAACTCTCCTGCCTCAGCCTCCTAAGGTGGAGTGGCAAATGTGCGACAGCATACCTGCCTTGACTCCTAAGTTGCTTTTTAAAAAAAAAAATCTCTGTATGTGTACATGTGTGTGCATGTAACTGGACATTTTTCTCCTGCCTGCCAGTTCCTGAACAGCTCAGAGGCTTATATTACTTATATTACTCATATTTGGCCAGTGGCTCAGACTTTTACTAACTAGCTCTTTTTTTGTTTTGTTTTGCTTTTCGAGACAGGGTTTCTCTGTGTAGCTTTGAAGCCTGTCCTGGAACTCACTCTGTAAACTAGACTGGCCTCGAACTCACAGAGATCTGCCTGCCTCTGCCTCCCAAGTGCTGGGATTAAAGGCATGCGCCACAAATGCCGGACTCTCTTTTTAAAAAAGACTTATTTATTATGTATCGTGTTCTGCCTGCATGCCAGAAGAGGGCGCCAGATCTCATTACAAATGGTTGTGAACTACCGTGTGATTGCTGGGAATTGAATGCAGGACCTCTGCAAGAGTAGTCAGTGCTCTTAACCACTAAGTCATCTATCTTCCCAGCCCATACTGACTAGCTCTTACAACTTAAATTGACCCATTTCTATTAATCTGTGTATCACTTTGAGGCCCAGGGCTTATTACCACACATCTTGCTTCTCTGGTAGCCGCTGGTGTCTCACAGACCCTGCCTTCTTTCTCTGCACATCTGCTTGTATTTTCTGCCTGCTCTATTCTGCCTGGCCATTGGCCAAATCAGCTTCTTTATTAACCAATGGTAATAAAGCATATTCAGTGTACAGAAGGGCGTTCCACATCATGTGTGTGTACATGTATGTGTGAGCACATTCATATGTGTGAGTATCATGGCGTACAAGTGAAGGTACAAGAACAATCTAACATGTGGGTCTTTGGCTGTCCTTGGCTCTGAGACACAATCCCTGTGTTTCTTGCCAAGTGCTCCAGACTAGCTGGCCTCAAACTCCTCCCATCTCACCACAGCAATGTTGAGGTCCCAGGTTCATGTTGTGGGATATCTGATCACACTGTGTAAAGATGTGTCTGTCCTACCTTACCTGCCTAAGACACCTTCTGATTAGTTTAATAAAGAGCGGAATGGCCAATAACTAGGCAGAAAAGGACTTCGAGTCAGAGACAGGAATTCTGTGAAAAATCTAGAGGCAGGGGAATCCTCAGAGAGATGTGGAGGAAGTCAGACATACTTAATTGAGAAGAGGAAATGGACCACATGGCAGAACATAGAACAAATGGGTTAATTTAAGTTTTAAGAGCTAGTTAGGAACAAGCCTAAACTAAGGCCAAGCTTTCATACTTAATAAAAAGTCTCCCTGTGAGTATTCAGGAGCTGGCGGTCCAAAGAGAGACCTCTACAGATTAAACACCATGTCCTGCCTCTTGGTGGCAGTTACACAGGACTATCTTCCACACCTTCAGGTGTTTATCCAGGGTACCTGTGCTTGTTGACTGTAGACTTTCCCACTTGGAAGGAGAAGTTAGGGAGGGTCATGGGACCCTCACCTGAAGATCTAGTTACTCTTCCCAACCAGGCCATGCAACTCTGCTCTGATTGCAGGTGGCCTCTGGGTCTTGGGACTAGACCCAGAAGTCTAGAGCACATAGATGGGGAAGGATGAAGGACAGGACTTCATCTAAGCATCCACTGGGAAACCACCATCCATCACCCATGTTGGATGCAGGCCTAACCCCTCACCCACGGCTCTGAAAATCAGTCTAATAAACTCATTGGTTTCTAGTGTGAATTCTGGTGGAATCACACTTTGGCTTGTTGTTGGGACAGAAGAGGAATGGGTGGGTGATTTTATGTCTCCCCAAGGGATGTAATTTTAGAAACAGTGAATGTGGTGGTTTGAATGAGAATAGCCCCCACAGGCTCATAGTTTGAATGCTTGGTCTCCAGTTGGTAGAACTGTTTGGGAAGGATTATGAGGTGTGGTCTTGCAGAGGTGTGTCATTGTAGCTAGACTTTGAGGTTTCAAAAGCCCACACTATTCCCAAGTAGCTCTCACTCTCTGCCTCTGGTTGTGTTTCAAGATGTAAGCTCTCAACTACTGCTCTAGTGTCAAACCACACTCCTTGCCACGATGGTCATGGACACTAATCCTCTGAAACTGTAAGTCCCACATAAATTCTTCCTTCCTTCCTTTCTTCATTCCTTTCTTCTCTCTCTCTCTCTCTCTCTCTGGTTTTTCTAGAAGGATTTTTTTTGTATAGCTTTAGAGCTGGTCCTGGAACTTGCTCTGTAGACCAGGCTGGCCTTGTAGTTATAGAGATCCACCTGCCTCTGCTTCCCAAGTGCTGGGATTAAAGACCTGTGCTACACACTGCCCAGCAAATTATTCTTCTCATTTTTTTTGTTGTTTTTTTTTTTTTTTTTTTTTTGAGACAGGGTTTCTCTGTGTAGCTTTGGAGCCTGTCCTGGAACTAGCTCTGTAGACCAGGCTGGCCTCAAACTCACAGAGATCAGCTTGCCTCTGCCTCCTGAGTGCTGGGATCAAAGGCATGTGCCACCACCGGCTATTTTTTTTTTTAATTTTATGAGCATTAGTGTTTTGCCTGCATGTATATATCTGTACACCAAGTTGGGACAGAGAAATCAGATCAGTGTGAACAGTGCTGGTCTTCTGGAAGAGCCATCAGTCCTCTTAACTGAGGAGCCATCTCTCCAGCCCCAAAGAAGGCAACATTTGAGGCTGGGTGTAAGAGGGAGATAAAAAGGAGTGATCAAGTGGTTGGGGTTTGTAACTCTCTATTTCCTGTTTGCTTGTTTATTGGACCAAGATCTCAAAATGTGACCTGGAACTCAGTTTAGAGAACAAGCTGGACTGGCCTCCAGTTCATCGAGACCCACCTGCCTCTGCCTCCTGAGCGAGTGAGTACTGGGATTAAAGGAGTGCACCACCACCCAGCTCCTCTATTTTCTTTTTAAATTTATTTTTAATTTATGTTCATTGGTGTTTTGACTGCATGTAAGTGTGTGTGAGGGTGTCGGATCCTCTGGAACTAGAGTTACAGACAGTTTTGAGCTTCCATGTGGGTGCTGAGAATTGAACCAGGGTCCTCTGGAACAGCAGCCAGTGCTCTCAACCGCTGAGCCCCCTCTCCAGCCCCTTGTCCTATTTTCTTTAGATGATTGTCATTCTTCCAGATTACTATAGAATGACGCAGGGCTGGGCCGGTTTTAGTGAAAGTGGGCATCCCACGAGAGTGTGGGAAAATATCCGTGGGAGTGGCTGGCCTGTATTGATCCTGCCCTTGAACAACAGATCGGCCCCAGACACAGGTCTCTCCTGCTAGCCCGGTGGCTTCTGCCCCAGCTTGGGCCTCCACAGCAACCTGGCCCAAACTGACCGTCTTCTTCCAGCTGCAATTGCTCGGCGGAGGCGGGGAAGCGCTGTAGAGTCTCTGCTCTCAATCCGGCCCATTCTGGCCGGACACTTGGCCGCCAACGCCTTGCGGGCTTTTCTGTAAGGGAGGGGAGGAAAGCTGCACCTGGCCGTTGAGTGGCAGCAGCGCCACTCAACGAACCTAGCAGAGCCGAGCAGCCCAGGGCAGCAGTAGCTCGTTGTGCGGAGGCCCCGGGCACCCTCTCGGGCCGGACCCGGGCTGTGTGGCGCCTGGACCTAAGTGCTGCGAGTGTCTAGAGGCCACAGGGGTGTCGCTGGCCGTGGGCTGACACCTGCTGAGTTAGACTAGTGAAGTCAGCATGGAGGTGGTGGTTCAGAGATCAGAGCCGCACTCGGCTAGAGGTCAGGTCTCCAGGCAGTGATGGAAAATGAGACCCCCAAAATGCCAGCGTGGTCCCCGAGGGAGAAGGCGCCACATACCTTCTGGGTAAGGAGTTCAGTGAAGTCCTTTCCTAAGAAGTTGATCCTTCCATCAACCGGTGGGCTCATATGGCGGGAATCCGGCGTCCAGGGAAGGTGCCCCCGCCTTGGGGGGGCGGGCCCAGCGCCGCTCGAATCTAGCTGGCAGGTGCCGTGGGTGGTGCCCAGCCCTGCCCCTGGGGGACGTTCCAGGAGGCCAGAGGCGGGTCAAAGAAGAGTGCTGGCGACGCCTTAGTACTTGGGGCGGCGGCTGCAACCACAGGTACTGCGCAGGTAACCGCTTCCTACCTCTCTGGCATCTCAATCCCGGCTCTGAGAACTGAATTTTTCAAGGTGCGTCTAACTCAACATCCAGGCGCCCGCGACCGAAAGAGGAGTTCTGGAGTCACCTGAGTCTTAAGGTTACTTGCTCTGGGAGCCGCACAGCCAGGAGACCCAGGGTTGCCGAGGAGGCAGTGAGGTCCTGGAAACCTTGGAGACCTCGGAGCCAGAGAGCAGGTCCTGCAGGTGACAGCTGATCAGGACACAGAGTGCCAGGACGGTCCGTAGCTGGGCCGCCTGGCACTTGGATAACGGGGGTACTGAATAGTGCCCCTCTCTCGGCTCGGACGCTTCCCGGTGTGTTTTCTGCTGAGGCCGGCAGCATCTCACCCAGCGCCTGCGGAACTGCTGATGGAGACGCCCATCCAGCGCGAAATCCGCCGCAGTTGCGAGCGCGAGGAGAGCCTGCGCCGGAGCCGGGGTCTGAGTCCCGGCCGTGCGGGCGAGGAGCTCGTCGAGTTGCGCATGCGGCCGGTGCTCAACCGGCCCGGCCCCGGCCCCCCACTGCCGCGCGCCCTGGAGCGCGCTCGGGCGGGCGCGAAGATGCAACGGGACATCGAACGCGAGGCTCACAGGCAGGCGGCGCTGGCGAGCCCCGCGGCTCCGGAGCCCAGCGTCAGGCGGCGGCCACAGCCGCTGGACGAACTCAAGCGCTTCTTTGAGGCCGCAGCGGAGGACGGCGGGGGTTTGCAGCGGCGGCCGGAGGCGGGAGGCTCGCTGCACCCCGCCGTTCAGGACGGCTGCCCGGTGCTGGGGCAGTCGCCATCGCTTGTTTCCCCGTCACTGCTGGAGCAGGAGGTGCGCCAAGTGCGCGAGCGCGAACGGGAGCTGCAGTTGCAGCGGCGCAGCATCTACGGGGCCGCTGAGGTTGGGGAGCCAGCGCCGAGCCTCACCCGTAAGCCTGTCACCCCCGGTCCCAGAGCTCCCGCTGTCTCCACCTCCAGTGGCCCTTCATCTATAGGCTTGCAGACTCCGGGTCCCTTAACTGTTCTTTGGGGGGTTCACCTTTTTCTGTTCTCCACTCCCACACCTGGAGTCAGGATCCCCAGATCCACCACACATTGTCTTGGAACCTTGACTGGCTATTGGCATTCTCCGGTTCTCTGTAATTTTTAGGCTCCTGTCTACGCTGGGTTCGTCTCGTTCCTGTGCTTGGGTCCCCAGAACTGGGTGGAGACCTCCATGGGGAGGGAGGGGTGCACACCTGTATGTGTTTAAGGGGTGCGGCCATCCTCCAGCTGGCCAGAGGAGGGGCAACCGCGACTGAGCATCCCTTCCCCCACAGCGAGCAGGGGAGACGGAAAGTTGGCGGTGATCTGGCCCCCGCGGAGAAGGGCCTCTGAGAACGGCCTGGAGAAGGTAGGAGCCCACCTTTCCAAAGCTTGTCGCTCTCCCACCCCTCCCCGCAGCTCCTGGGCACTGGGAAGGGAAAAGTGCATCCCGGTCCCCCTGGAGCGCCACTCTAGCCAAAACTCAAGTCCCAGACGCGACCTGGAGAGTAAAAGGGAGGTGCCCTGGAGCCCAAACCATCTCACCGCCACAACCCTGGTGTAGCTCTTGTCCCTGATGGTGGCCTTCTTCCTCTCCCCTTTTCCCTAGTAGGAGCGCAGACCCTGAGGTCCGCGAAGATTGGGGCACACGGCCAGACGTGACATACCCTTTAAAGATTCAGGGTAGAATTACCCTCCGGATCAACAGAAGGCCTGAAGAGAAAGGGGCCAGCTCTCTTCAATGGCAACTTGAAATTCTGCCCATCCTGATACTGACTATGGAATTAACCACCTTTCTCCATTAAAACTGTTTAGTCTTCATTGGAAAACTAACAACCACCCGCAAAACCTGTGAGTGAAACACAAAATAAAACCACACACACACACTTTCCTGGGCTTTAGTGCAAGCTGTTTTCTACTGGAACCTCCTTGGTCTGGGTGGAGCGGGAGCTAGGCGGGTGAAATACGCCCAGGAAAGCCACCCGAGGATCTCACCGGAATGTTGGAATTCGAAATGCGCTCTGGACTCTGTTCCGGGCTGCCTGCTGACCCTGGCCTGGAGGTCTGGGCCCTACTGCCCCCTGGTGGCAAATGTTGCGCATCGGCCCATAGACTTGACTCCAGGTCTCCAGACCTCAGCTTTTATCAGTGCCAAAGGCATCCTGTACTCAGGGCGCTGCTAGAAAGAGGAACTATGAAATTGTCCCTGCTCTAGGGAAATAATAATGAAAAATAACAGTGGTGGGCTGGAAAGACGGCTCAGGGTAAAGAGTGTTGTAAATGATCTGAGTTCAGTTTCCAGCATCCACATGGGGGCTCATAACCGCTCGTAACTCCAGCTCCAGGGGATCCATCGCCCTCTTCTGGCTTGCGGGAGCACTCCAACATACATGGCATATATTCACACAAAACGCACACATATACACACAAATTAAAGATATAAGGGGTTCTCTTTGTAGCCCTGGCTCTCCTGGAACTTACTATGTAGACCAGGCTGGCCTCTTGAACTCAGAGATCAATTCTCTCTGCCTTCCCAGTGCTGGGATTAAGAGCGTGTGCTGCCACTGCCTGGCTGTAAAGTTTTTTTTTTTTTTTTTGATTTATATATTATGGTGTATGTGGTATGTGTTTTGCTAGCCTGTCTGTGTGTGCGCCACTTGTGTGCAGCGCCTGCAGAAGTGAAAAGAGGAGACCAGATCTTCTGGAACTAGTTATTGATGGTTATGAGGCACCATGTGAGTGCTGGGAATTGAACCGTGTCCTCCAAAATACTCTTAACTGCTGAGCCATCTCTCCAGCCATAAGATTTATTTTATTTGTGTGTGTGTGTGTGTGTGTGTGTGTGTGAGAGAGAGAGAGAGAGAGAGAGAGAGAGAGAGAGAGAGAGAGAGAGAGAGAGAGCACTCAGGTGTACAATGCCCTTGGAGCCCAGAGAGGGCGTTGGACCCCTAGAGTTGGAGTTACAAACAGTTATGAACTATCAGAGGTGGGAACTGAACCTGGGTTCTTCGAGGACAGCAAGTGTTCTAAGCCACTGAGCCATCTCTCCAGCCTTGGTACTGTTCCTACAAGAGAAAGCTGAGGACCTGAAAGTTGGCTCTGCAGTTAGGGGTGTTTGCTGCTCTTTGGGGTGGTGGTGGCAGACAGAGGCAGGTGGATCTCTGAGTTTGAGGTCAGCGTGGTCTACAGAGTAAATTCCAGGATATCCAGGGCTACACAGAGAAAAATCCACCTTGAAAAACTGGAGGGGGGAGCAGATGACAAAAAACCTGTTTGTTGCTCATGCAGAGAACCCAGGTTTAGTTTCAAGTTTGAGTGATGCACATTCACCTGTAACTCTAGTTCCAGAAAATCAGAGCCCCTCTTTTGGACTCCTCTGACACTCTGGGATACACAGGCATACTTGCATGACTGAGCACATACACTTGACCATACACACATACATATATAGAGGAGGCTCCCTCCTCTATATAGTCCTGGTTGTCCTGAAACTATGTAGACCAGAGATACTCTTGCCTCTGCCTTCTGGGTGCTGGTATTAAAGGTGTTTACCACTATGCCTAGCTACATACATACTTTTTAAAATAAAAATTCTTTTAATTAAAAAACAAATCTTAAAGCTGGGCATTAGTGTTGCATACCTTTAATTTCAGCACTCAGGAGGCAGAGGCAGGCAGGTCTCTGTGAGTTCAAGGCCAGCCTGATCTACAAAGCTACACAGAGAAATCCTGTCTCAAAAAACAAAACAAAACAAAAAACAAATCTTGAGCATTTGCCTGTCTATATGGACCAGGATGGCTTTGAACCTGTGATCTTCCTCCTTCTGATTTCTTAATTGTTGGGATTGCAGGACTATGTCATACCAGGTTTAAAAAAAGAAAAAAACTTTTGGCAGCACGTTTACCTTTAAACTCAGCACTTATGAGATGGAGACAGACAGGTCTCTCTGAGTTCAAGGCCAGCCTGGTCTGCATAGCAACCTATTGCAGGAAGGGGGAAATGCAAGTGGGAGTGGCCAGTTGTTGGCATGCTGCAAACCGTGCCTAACTTCTGGTAAACACACTAAACTGTCTGAAAACAGTACCTGTGTAATTCACATAACATCAGAACAGTTCTACAACTTCTTAGAAGTGGCCAGGTTTGGAAAAAGTGGGGCCTCAAACACTGTAGATCTGTTATATAGGGCTGGGGACACAGCTCAAATGGTAAAGTATTTGCATGGCAACACATGAACAGTGGTACATACCTGTAATGGCAGAGGTAGAAGCAGGCAGAATCAGAAGTTCAAGGTTAGCCTCAGCTACATTGGGAGCTTGAACCTAGTCTGGCTATATGACACCTTGTCTTCAAAAAATACATAAATAATAAATTGAGGGGCTGAGGAGATGTCTCGGTGTGTAATATATTTGTCAAGCCAGCCTGATGATCTGAATTCAGATCCCAGAAAACAAGTAAAAAGCCGTGGTGCATGCAAACTCCTGGAGGTTTTTACTGGGAACTGAGAGGTAGAGACAAGAGAATCCCTGGAAGCTTGGGGGCAGCTAGTATGCACAGGCACAGAGTACCTTGTTTAAGACAAGTTGGGAGACCAGGGATGACTACACATATGCCATGGCATGTATACAATAACATACATGCTGACACACAAATAAATACTAGCACTGTGGTTTAAAATTTTGTCAATTCTGGCTATTGCATCTTACTGTGTCCATCAGGCTGACCTCTAGCTTACTGCAAGTGACTAATGAAATGCCAACAAATAAAATAGGAAAGGTCCATACGGTGTTTTACCCAGCAGCTACTCAGCCCAAAGAGAACCCTCCTCCAGAGTCTGCATTGCCACATGCTTGACTGACTTTGGGACTGACGGGAAGACACGGGAGAGCCACTAAGATGGCAAATGGACTCACAAGCTGTTCTTCGGTGGGTGTGGTATGTCTGTGTCACAGTTCATGAGTGCACATATCTGTGTGTGTGAAGCAAAGGACAACCCCAGATGTCCCCCAGAAGCTGTCCACCTCATTTTATTTTTTAAATTAAAAATATGTGAGTGTTCTGTCTGCATGTACATGTGTGTACTCATGCATGCCTGGTGTCCGGGCAGGGTGTTCGATGCTGTAGATGCTGTAACTGGAGTTACAGGTGGTTGCCAACCACACAATTCAAGTGCTGAGAACTGAACCTATCTCTCTCCAGTGCCCCCTCCCACAACACTATGTAGTCCTGGCTGGCTTAGAACTCACAAAGATCTGTCTGATTCTGCCTCCCAAACACTGAGACCAAAATTGTGTACCCTGAATATTTATTATGTATGTATATGATTGGGGGCATGCTACTACATACGTGTAGTGGTCAGAGAATAAGTTTTTTGGGGTCAGTTCCCTCCTTCCACTTTTAGGTTGGTCCCTAGGTTCAAACTTAACTTGTGTGACAAGTACATAACAGCCTGTCGTTTTTTTTTTTTTTTTTTTTTTTTTTTTTTTTTTTGTTTGTTTTTGAGACAGTGTTTCTCTGTAGCTTTGGAGGCTGTCCTAAGTCCTAAATCTCAGCAAATCAGGCTAACCTGGTCTATTTCTGCCTCCCTAGTGCTAGCCCCATTTTATTAAACAAGGTCTCACTTTGTTAACCAGGCTGACCTCCAGCTTGCAGCAATCTTTTGGCTCCTGATTGCTGGGATCATAGGTGTGTATCACTATGCTCAGCCAGGCCTCATACTTTTGTAGTATTGGGCTCAAACCTAAGCCTTGTGATGCTAGGTTCAACCACATTCCCAAACCCTGACATCAGTATTTATAGTTCTTATGTGTATGAGTGTTTTCTTTTGCAGTTTGTCTGTGTACATGTTAGCCTGGAGCCTGCAGATGCCAGAAAAGGGCATTGGATCCCCTGGAACTGGAATTACAAATGGTTGTGAGCTCCCAAGTTTGTGTTAGGAGGCAACTTTTATAGGGGAGATGAGACTAGGCATAGGAGCCACCCAAATCAGTATCAGGAGGAATCAGAATGGTCTTGGAGGTACTCTGACCCGAGCTATGGAGTAAACATTATGGGGTCATCAATGGTTAACAGAGGCCTCTCTGGAAGAGCTAGGGTTGGTGTGCAGCCTGCAGTCAGCTCACGTTCCACATGTTTAAAGCGGGTTTATAATGGTAGGTACCAGATGCTGGCTGACTTACTGAAGCATAAGGCATGGTGGCCCAGGCTGGAAGAAAAGACCAGTCTGGGCTGTATACTAACACTCCAGCTGGATTTTTTAAAAAAGGTGTTAGCAAGGTGACTGTGGCTCTTGAGAGGACCCTTGTTCAGTTTTCTGCATCCACAGAGGCTGACAATTCCAGTCCCATCGTATGTATCTAATACCATCGACTGGCCTCTGTGGGCAAGCAGAGAAAAATCAATCGTAACATGTAATAAAAATAAGTATTTTATTTTTTGAGAGCAATAGGGTCTCTTTATATAGCCCTGGCATCTTGGAACTAAGTAGACCAGGCTGACCTCGAACTCTCAGAGACCTACCTGCCTTGGTTTCCCCCAGTGCTATGTTTAAATGTGTGTGCAACTATTCCCGGTTAATAAAATTAACTCTTTTCTTTTTTGAGACAGGGTTTCTCTATGTAACAGTCCTGGTTGTCTTTGAACTCACTCTGTAGACCATACTGGCCTTCAACTCAGAGATCCACCTGCCTGTGCCTGCCCAGTGCATGTGCCACAACACCCTGCAAAGACTACTCTTAAAAAACAAACAAAACCACAGAGTCATGGTTCTGGGTCTTACATTCTGCCTCTGAATGTGAAAATTTTAGGATTCAAATATCAATCTCTCAAGAGTGACACAGGGGAGAAGGAAGGATCACATTTCTACACAGGGGTCAGTTTCACTCAAAGACCCAGGTTCGAGTCTAGAGCTTCTCAGAGGAGAGTTCATTTCTCTCAGCTAGAGCTTCCTGGACAGCCTAAGATTACTATAAGGCTGAGTGCTCCCTAGGACTCTGCTAGCCTGTACTCTAGATACTCTTCGTGGGACAAGAAAATGAGCTCGGCTCGGACACCCCAGAAGCTGGGAGAAAGTCTGACTCCACTCTGCAAACTGATCCCCTGCAGTTTGCTAGGGCACATCGGGAAATGTAGTTGTTTTTTTTTTTTTTTTTTTTTTTTTTAAACCCTGGATAGGAATCACTTCCGGGTTAAAAAAAAAAAAAAAACGGGCGTAGGTCTAAGTCTTCCTCCAGTGGGCCTAGAATTTTCCTGCTACCAGAAACTTGTTTTCTGGGTTCCGGTTGCTGACGAGAGCCGCTACTTCCCTCTTTGACTCATGTGCGCATCTGCGCACGCGCAGCTGTCTCGCCGAGGTCTGCGGACTACACTACCCAGAAGGCCCCTCGGTGGGCGGAGTCCACCCGCCCCTAGGGGAGGGACGCAGTGCTCACCGGAGACACAGAACCTCTGCCCTCACTCTTTTATTAACAGAAAAGTGTGTCCGCACTTGCTGTTCCGCGGCCCATGCTTAGTGCAGCCCGCTCCTGTTCTTGCCTGGAGTTTGGGGTTATCAAGACCTGGCTGGCTTCTTCTTCTGGGGCTCAGGATGCTGGGGCAGCCCAAGCCAAGGGCCCGGCAGTGCTTGGGGGCCGGGCGGGGCCTACCTGGCCCATGAGGATCTGTACCAGCAGGTCGGTGGCCAGCACATGCGATGGTTCCTCGAAGCCGATGGTTAGTAGCTGCTGGTAGTCCCCGGGTGGCTGCGGGCATAAAATCCTGGGGGCCCGGAAACAAGCCTGGACTTGAGCACCCCTGCTCCTCAAGGCTGGGAGGGGCTTCAAGTTAGGGATTGGGGATACCCTAAGGGAAAGTGTCTCCTCTGTTGACAAACTCCTGAGTTAAAGCTTTGCACTTGAGGCTGCTGTGTCTCCCTGGGGAGAGCAACGTACCCACTCTGAAAACATGTTTTCTTCTCTGTAAAATGTACTGATCCACACCTCTATGAATTGCTGTTTAGACTGCATAAAGCACTCTTCAGGGCACAGTAAAATGTGATCCCTACTACCCTGAGATCGATTCAGTCTTTGTAGGGTTCTGTCCCGCCCTCCCTCAGACCTCAAGCCCACATCGCCATCCTACCATGAATCAAGGTCATCCTCTGCTGGTCCTAGGGGCATCCATCGGCCGATGGACCAGAGTTTCTGGATTTGGGGGCACGAATTGGCTGGACCCTGACCTGTATCCTCCCATGTATCTCGATAACATAAGAAGTAGCTGAGAGAGAAATCAGAAGGAAAACAATTCCTTAAGTTTTTCTATTGAGGGCTTTAGTTCTGGAGGTGAGGTTCAAATTCGTGAGAAGAGCTGCCTGAAGTTCTCAGGCAGGGATGTGGCTCAGTCCTGAGGCCTTAACTCCCTGGTGGCCTAATCTGAAGATGAATATTTTTATTTTAATGGGAAGGTAGAGCTCAATGGTATACAGTCCTGGCCTATTATATGCAAGGTTCTGGGTTTTATCCTAGCACTGCAAAAGGTGTTCAATTTCCTGTCTTGCTTTTCACTTTGTGGTGTTGGTGTAGAGGCTCAAGCTGAATTCAGCATAGGAAGGGGAGGACTTTAATTTTTGACAAGGAAACTCACTAATCCACATGGGAGTCTGGTCCTTGGCTAGTGATGTCTGTGGTGGTTTCCAGGTTCCAGCGCATCTTCTTATAGAGGTATCTTGGGAAGTGGCTGGCAGTGTACGCAGCAGGGGTGCAGTATCGGAAGATGGACACATCGTGGGAAGGGCTAATGGAGAACCTCCCGCAGAAGAAGCAGGAGATACTAGCAAGAAAGGAGAGTGGATAGCAAGTTAGGCCTTGGACTGTGCCACCCCACAGCCACATTTTCTGCCCCCTTCCTTACCTCAAAGGGTTAGTTTCCTCCAGGTCCACGAACCCAAAGGAGGCGTACATGAGAACTAACTGTTCCAAGCGTAGGGTTAGCTGCTGGGAGATCTCCAACAACTGCGCGGAAGGTGGGATTTCATGACCTTAGATGGCCAGCCAGAAGCAACCCTCTACCCCTAGGCAGGGTCCAAAGAAAGGGGCCTGGTACACACCCCCTTCCGGACCAATTCCTGCAGGGCTCCATAGATGGGAGGGACACTCCTAGCAGCAGCCTCAAGGTACAGGAAGTAAGGTTCACACATTGTTAGGAAGGTAGGCATGGCCTTGGCTAGCTGTTCCTTCTGCACTCTGTCCCTGCTGAAGGAAGAAAGGGGCCTTCAGGTAGCATCACCCTCCCTTTACCCCAGGTGCCCCATGCTCACCCTTCTACCTGTATCCCTGGCTGAACCCACTACACAGTTCCCTCAGTGCTGTGGCTTACTGGTCTGAGCACTTGCATAGCACAGGCAGAGCCCTGGGTTCCATCCACAGCACCCAGAAATTAAACATAAAGAGGGGGACTGGAGGTTAAGTCAGTGGTATACACTGGAGCTCACACACCCAGCTTTTAGCCTCAGTGCTCAGCATAAGCTGTCCTGTCCCAAGTTGTCGGTGGGGTGTGTGCCCTCTCCACCCCCCATCAACCCGTCAATCTTTCTCAGTCCACAGTCTTTCAGAACCACCTGCACCAGTCACTTAGAATAATTAGAATAATTTGTTAAATGCTGACACCTGGCTGGTAATGCGGCTCTGTGTCCCAAGGCTTGCCTAGCACCAGGGCCTGAGTTCTATCGTTAGGGTGTTTGGGTGGTGCATGCAACTGAGTTCTCTCAGCTGTGCTGAGTGAAGTTCAGAAAGCTGGGATTTAAGCCAGCCTCCCACAGACATCACAATCAAACCCTCTCCCCTGGTCCGGAAATTGCATTTTTCTTTGGGAGTGAAGGGTTGCCTCTCACACTGAAGTTCTCTGGCCAGAGTAGATGCAGATAGGTTTTTTTGTTTTGTTTTAAAGCTGACTTACAGGGGGTTAAAAGAAAAAGAAAAAAGAAAAGAAAATCTAAGCCACCATTTCAAATTTGGTAGGCAGTACTCAGTAGACCGGGGGCAGGAGGGTCTCCAATGCTAATGTGATGAGATCTCTCTCAAAACAAAACACCCACAGAAAACCAAACTGGCCAAATCAACCAACCAACCAAAGAAAGATTCTTGGTATCTTAAAGGCTCACACATTGCTTGCCCCTGCCTCTCAATTCTCCAAAGCCCTCTGCACAACGGTATATTCCTAATCATGAACTGTCTCTGAGGCCCGGGTTCAGTTTTGGACCTTGTATGGGCTGCACAGCCTGTCCTGTCCTGTCCTGTCCTGTCCTGGGACCTAGGCCCCCTGTACAGGGTCACCTGTAGAGCAAGTAGCTTTGAAAGTCATCTGCCTTCCTGAGCAGGTAACGGAGCTGGTCAGTGATGGGGCTGAACATGGAGTCCAGTGGGAGTCGAGCCTGGGCCGGCCCCAGCTCCGCAGCCAATGGTTCCCGGGAGGATGCGGAGGCTGGGGCTTCCATCAGCTGTTGTGCCCGCTGGGGTTCCTGCTCCGCTGAGGCCTCCGGTCTCCCGGCGGGTGACCACGAGGGGTCTCCATAGGACGGCGGCCCGGGTCCCAATTCGTCCGAAGGCAGTGCTTCTCCAGGGCCCAGGGCTAGCGAACCAGCGAACCAGGGCTCCGCAGCCATCGGCTTTCACTGCAGGCTCTTCCAGCTTCCGCGGCGTCCCGGGAGTGCAGCACACCTGGGGCCGGATAGAGAGCGCAGCCGCGACCTTTCGGCCCAGCCTCGACGTCTCTGCCGGCACCGCCCCGTGGGCTTTTGCCTCTTTTGAATTTAAGCACGCGGAGGCCCGCGCAGCCTGGGCCTGCACTGCGCACAGAGTTCAGCAGGCACCTGGCGCGCGGGGCAGGACGATGCCAAGGGCGGAGCAGCAGACCTGCCTTGTGGCCGCACGCTGGTAGGCACCTTTTCTCTCACAAGCTGTTGACTGTGCAGGAGGGGCTTCCTAACATTTTAGGAATCCAGGAGTGAAGGTGGAGATGTAGTCGCCTCCCAAGCCTGTGTCCCCCAAGATCTGATTCCTCACTGATGGAGCTGGGATCTGCATGTGAGCGTGCCAAGAGGCTAGTGGAGTAGCAGTTACTTCTACAATAAAGATCTCGGACAGGTGATCTGGTTTATCCCATCCGTCTCCTTTGTTCCAATACGCCTGCCCTGGTCCCAGGAAACACTCTTTACATTTGTAGACTGAATTCCTAGCCACGTGCAAAACCTGATTAGCATTTAAGTACAGCTAGGGAGCCAAATAATCACCAGGCTCACAGTGAAGCAGCAACAGGTGTCCTGTGTGACCCTCGGGTGAGGGTCTGACTGTCAGAATAAGTTGTCCCAGTCTATAAAGTGAGTTTTTATGATGCCTGCTTCATGAAACAACAAAGTGCTCAGCAAGTGTGCAGTTAACTGTTAGTCACTCAACAAACACTTGAGCAGGTGGTTCTGGGATTAGATGACAGAAGACAAAGGAACTACTCTGGTCCTAGAGTTTTTGTGGGTTTTGTTTTGAGGCTAGCCTTGAATGCTTGATCCTGCTACTATCTCTGCAGTGCTGAGGATTGACAGCAAACACCATTTCCTTTTTGTCAGTGTTGAGAATGAAAGCAAAGCATTCTGCATATTTGCCAAGGACAACCCTACTGCGGTCCTACTATAGTGGGCCGAAGAAAGCTGCACTATTCTTCCTGCCTCCCCAAATACTCTGTCCTCACATCAAACTCTTCAAGGGTCTTAGCACCTCCTGCCTCCATTCAGAAAATGAACTCTTTTTTTTTTTTTAAGTTTTATTTAAAAAAACCTTCGGTGCAATATTAAAAAGCAATACAGCCAGGTGGAGCAACAATGGACAGACAGAAAGGGAAGGAGCCAGAGGACCCAAGGTCCCTTACATCACCTGTTCTCCAGAGGTTGGAGGTCAAGGTGTGGGGGAGGGCACTGGTGGACAGGGAAAACCCACCACCAGGAAGGACAGGCAGAACAAAACACGTATATAAGATACATCTGGCTGAACTGAAGAGGGTTTGGGGGCCACAGGAAGCTCCCCTTTTTTCTCAAAAATGTCCTGGTTTGGGGGGAAGGGGTGGCCCCTGTAATGAGCCAACCAAGTCCACCTACCCTGCACTCCACTTCTGTGGAGAGGGATGTACTAAGGTAGGGATGTGAGAAAAAGGGGGAATAGAGGAGCATATCCCCTCACTGGAGTCTGTTAGGAAGGTTGAGGTGTCCCCATGTCCAGTTCCTGGACTACTGGGGCCGACATGGGTGAGATCTGGACTGGCTGGGGAGGGGCAAGGCTGGCGCTCAGCCTAGAAAACCATCGGGGTCGTCATCCTCAAAGTGGCCTTGTTGAAGCACCTTGATATGGTGCTCGTAGATCTTCAGGGCTGGGCCCAGGCGGATGGACAGGCCAGTCAGCACATCTGTCCGTTGCATGAGCAACAAAGACTTGCCATCAATTTCCTGGGCAGGACAGAAAGGGCAGGGTCAGTGGACATTGGTGAGGCCACCTGCGTGTACAGACAGACATGTGCAGTCTGGGCGGGGAACTCACCTGCTCTTGAAAAGCAGTGGCCTGCTCTGGGAAGCCTGCCTCAGTGAAGTATTCCACCACATCCATGACCGTCCACTCCACTGGGTCACTTGGTTTCTCTTTGCGCCCAGGACTGCATTGGAATGGAGAACAACAGTGACCACGACACAGCTCTGATTGTCCAACACACCCAGGCACTAACCCCAAGTCCCTAATGCCTCAACTTACGGACAGCCAAATGGTGTCCCATCAGCCCCAGGCAGGGCTGGTTTTCCTGGGGGCAAAGGCACAGGAGATGGAGAATCTGGAGCAGTCGCAACACAAGCTGGGAAAGGAAAAGCAGGTGGCAGTCTCCAGGCTAGGGGTGCACATCTGTCTGTTCTGCACTACCCGACCGACCCAGAGGGGTCCTTACCTGATCCCCCTTCTTTATTCATAGCTGTCATCGAGAACACCTGGCGTGTGCAGCTGCCAGGTGCTGGTCCCCGCCCTTCATCCTGGCCCTGGTAGGGTCCACAGGGCGACCACTCCTTGACCCTCTCCTTAGCACTCTGAGGGCCCCGCTCTCCATTAATCTGGTGGTGCTGAGCACCTGCGGGGCGGTCACTCTCAGGCACTTCTGAGCCCTCTGATACATTGTCCTCCTCCTCCTCCTCATCTTCATCCTCGTCTTCCTCTTCTTTCTCAAACACCCGCTCTTCTCCACCTCTCTGGGGCCAGAGAAAGAAGCAGGCAGAGTTAGAGCTCTTCTAGTTCCGGATGGAATCCAGTGTCCGACGCCACCTTTGACAACAACACGGAGTAACTTTTACGCTGTCGTTTCCGTGCCAGGCTCCGGGTTAATAAAGCCCTCAATAGCCAAGTCTTACTAAACTCACTCAACAACCCCCAGGGGTCGCTACTATCAGCAATTCTCGGTTTACAGCCGAGGAAACTGAGGCTCGGGCAGATCAGGTCACTGACCAAGATCACCGCGTTCCGAGTCCGGAGGGACTGTGGACGAACCCCGGCCACCTGACGTCCTGCTCCCTCCCGGGACTCGAGTCCCCGCCAACTTCGCCCGCACCTGCCCGGTGCGCTCACCTTGCTCCGCGCCGCGCGTGCGCTAGCGGCCGGCGGCGCCCGTCCCGGCCTGTCTCCGCGGGGCAGTGCGAGCGCTCCCAGGCGGGTGCGCTCCAGACGGCCCCGCGCCGCCTCCTCTTCCAGCAGCCCTTGCACGCGGCCGCGAGTAAGGCGGCCGCTGGCGCCGCCGCTGCCCCCGAGGTAGCGCACGACTTCCCGCAGGCTCACGGGCCGCGCCGGGCCGCCCGCCCGCGCCGCGCCCCCCTCCGGCGGCGGCTGTGGCTGCGGCGGCGGAGGCTGCTGCTGCTGTGGCGGCGCCGGCGGTGGTGGCTCCCGGGCGGCGACGGCGGGCGGCGGTGCACGGCGCGGGCCGGCTGGGGGCGCCGCGGCCGGGGGCGCGGCGGGCGCTGGTGGCGGCGCGGCTAGGGGCGCGGCCCGCTGCGCCCGGGGACCCGGCTGCGCGGGGCCGGGAGAAGGGGGCGCTGTGGCGGCGGCCGCGCGGGGCGCCCGGGTCGGGGCGGCGACGGGCGCGGGCGGCGGGGCGGGCGTGGGCGGCGGCGCGGCGGGGCCCCCGCGGGGGACGCGCGGCGGGGCGGGCGGGGTGGCTCCGCGGCGGGGCGGCTGGACGCGCGCCGCGTTGCGGTACGAGATGCTCCCCTTGTAGCTGACCCGGAGCACGGCGCGCTGCTGGATCAGTTTCTCGAGCTCCGCGCGCGTGCGCTCGGGCTCCGGGCCGTGCCGCCGCCGCACCATCCGGCAGATGCGCTCCAGGTCCGGCCGCGCCTTGCGCGAGCGCAGCGAGTCGATGGTGTCCAGAATCCACTCTTGGTAGTGCGGGGAAGCGGCGGACGACGAGGCGGCGGCCGCCGTGGTGGCGGCCGCCGCCGTCTCCGGCGGGGGTAGGGCCGGGGGCCCCGCCATGCCTCCCGCCCGGCCCGGCTGCACGGTGCGCGCTGCCTCCCTCCCAGCGCGGCGCCCCCTCCCCGCTCCCCTCCCTCCGCCGCTGCCCGCCTCCTCCGCCTCCCCCCGGGGGGCGCAGCGCCTCGGCGGAGCGGCGGCGGCGCTGCTGTTTCTTCGCAAAAAAAAAAAAAAAAAAAAAAAAAAAAAAGAGAGAGAGAGGAGAGCGCGCGAGAGAGACAGAAAAAAAATAGTGAGAGAGAAAGAAAAGAGGAAAAAAAATATGCACACACTCACTCACTCGCACGCACGCACACAACAGCCCCGCTTCTGCTGGGCGCGCGCGGGGCCGGGGATGCGAGGAGGGAGGAGGGGAGCGCGGCGCGGCCGGCCCCTCCCCGCCGCCGCCGCCGCACGCGCGCCCTGCGCCCGGGACACTCCGGCCCCCCTTCCTGCTCGCCCTCCCCCGCTGCCCGCCTTCCTCGCTCCCTCCCACCCCCACGCGCCCGCTTTTAAGGTGGAGCCCGGGCCCCCGCCCGCCCCGTGTACCCGGCTCTCTGGCTCACTCCGGCTCGCTCCGGCCCCCCCTTACAACTCCCGCGCGCTTTTTAAGGAGGCGCCGCGGAGTTGGCGCCGGAGCGGGGGCGGGGAGCGCGGCGGGCGGGGGAGGGGGAGGGGAGCGCAGGGGGGGAGGGGACAGGGGGCGGGCGGGGCGCGCGGGCGGCGTTCGGCCGCCCTCCAGCCATTGGGCGCGGGACCCAGACGTCCTCGGCGCCCAGCCCCCTCTCCACGCCTCTCCGCGCGCAGCGCTCTCGGGACCGCACTTACCGGGAACTAGCCGCGCCGCGGCCCGATGCGCCGCGCTCCTGGGGATCCGCGGAGACCTCACCAGCGGCCCTGCCGCACCTAGACGAGGGCTTGGGGGCGCGCGGGGCTCCCCCTTTCTCCTTCTACCCAGCCGATCCCGCTGCAGTTCGGCCGCATCGGTCCGAGCAGCTCCCTCCAGTGCCCCTTGGGTCCCGGACTAGACGAAGTAGGGGGCACCAACAGATTTGAGGATCCCGAACTCAGGGTCAAAGGACAGTTTGCTCACCCCACCCCTCTTTTCTCTGGCGGGGCGGAGGAAGTGCAGGAATTCCAGCTAAACCCGGTTTCTCAAGGGTCCCGGAGCCAAGGTGTCCACAACCTGGACATTGAGGTCCGAAATTCCCTTTCCAACACCCTGAGGATTTGAGGGTGTGATCGAAGTCGGGAATACCAGCGACACTTTTATTTTAAAACAAAACTTTATTGGTAATAGTTTTCAAATATGTTTACAACAGCACACTGTTCAAGAGGAAGTCTCATCCTTCGCAGCACACAGGTTGAACGGCCCCCCTCGCCCACCCGGGGCCCCCACCCAGGCCTGAGAGCTCCTCCTGTTTGGGAGAAGTTACGAGAGGGATAAACACAGGGATAAATGGGGTAATTTCCCCAGCAGCTCCCCCACCTTTCTATTGAGAGAAAAGCACAATCAGACTTGGGGCGCAGTGAGTGAGGGTGCACAGCAAGAGGTGATGGACAGCTGACAGCTAAGCTGGGAGTGAGGCGCCCAGGATGGGGAGGGACTTCTTAAGGGGGCTGATGCGCGGAAGAATTGGCATAAGACCCCTGGAAAAGGGGGCCGGGAGGCTAGCAGCTCGGGGCGAGGTTCAAAGCCCAGTCCCTTCCTTGACAGTCGGCTATCCCGGACTCAGAGTGGATTTGGGGCGTGTCGAGGGGTTTGGGGAGGAGTGGGACAGTCTGGAGGATGGGAGGCACTGGTGGAACTTAATTTAAATGAAGATTAAAAAAAAAAAATAAAACAACAACAAAAAAAAAAAACCCAAAAAAAAAAAACCAAAAAAAAAAAAAAAAAAAAAAACCAAAAACCCACTAGCAAGCAGCCCTCTGTACCTGTCACTAAAATCTCCCTTTTCAAGTAGGACTGCATGGAAGGGAAGGTTGGCTTTTCTGTTTGTCCTTAGGGTCCAGTGCTGGGGTGGGGGTGGAGGCTGGGGTGAGTTAGGCCCCTCTTCCCATACCCTGCCCTTGGATACACCAGTAAGCCTGGGTGTGACTGGAACTGATAAATTCACTGAAAACAGGCAGAGGAGTGGGGAGAATGGGGTGTGTGGGGGAGAGGGGGAGCAGCTGATGTTGCCCCTTCCCCAATATCTGGCTTTCCTGCTCTCCCTAACTTGGGGGTGTGAAATGGGTGTTAAATTAGATGCACAGAACTCTAGGGCCCTCTGGCTGTTCGATCCAACCCTCCCACCCCCAACCGGAAAAAAAAAAAAAAAAAAAGGAGAGAAAAAAAAAAAAAAAAAAAAGAAGAAGAAAACCCATGGGGCACAAGCACACCCCTAAAACTCAGTAAACTCCTTGCCACATTTCTCATTGATGGAGACCCGGATCTCTTCCTCCTCATAGTCGTCAAAGTTACTCGTGTCTCCAGGGCCTTTAAACTTTGGTATGAAGGGAGCTTCCACCTGGAGAAGGATCAAGAACCACCCAGAGCTCGTTAGCTGACCTTACACCATTACAACAATAAAGATGAATGGCTTAATATTCAGGAGACACTTACTGTGACCCATGCCTGTGCTCAACATTAGGGTACTGTATCTTTTTTGTAAACCAACTCACCAAATGGAAGTCACTTCCCAGAGAATATTTCCTGCCCAAGGCCCAAAGTGGCCAGAAGATCCCAGCATCCCATGTCTAGTCCCTTCCCAGCTCCAGGAAGCCATATGCGGTTTGATACTGGGCTTAATGACTCCTTCCCTTTCCCCACCTCTGGACCCACCTTTCTCTGATAGATGGCAATCCAGTCAGTCGTGGCAAACCACTTATGGTTCTTGATGTCATTGACCCCATTCTTGAGGTTCCCAAAGCGCTTGGTGAGATCCACCTGCAGAAGGTTCCGTAGCAGGTCCTTCAAGTCAGAGCTGAAGTGGGATGGGAACCGCACCTGAAAGTGGGTGTACAGAGAGTGGGGTGCTGCTCACAGGTTTAGGGCACCCACATGTGACAGCACCTCCCCACACCCTGGCTGTCCAGGAACTCAATCTACATGCCTCTGCCACCCCAGTGCTGGGATTACATCTGTGCTCCACCCACCATGAAAGACAGGATTTTAATGTGTATTTCAAGATGGCCTTGAACACAAGATCCTGTCCCCTAGCCTCCTGAGTGTGAGAACTTCAGATGTGTACCACTACACTCTGGCCAAATGATACTTTCTGTATCTAATAGTCTACAAGGAGAACCTGTTAAGATGGATTTTTGGAGTGTGCTGGCACTCACCTATAATCCCAACACTCAGGCAGAGGCAGGCAGATCTCTGTGGTGTGGGTTTAAGGTGAGCCTGATCTATATGGCAAGTTCCAGACCAGCCAAGGCCACATAAGACCTTGTCTCAAGATGTATGTATGTATGTATGTATGGACAGATAGATAAAGATGGCTCATTGTTGAGCCAATGGATGGCTCTGCTCTTGCAAAGGACCTGGGTTTGATCCCCAGTACCCACATAGTGGCTCACAACCACCTGTAACTCTAGCCTTAGGGGATCCAATGCCTTTGGCTTCCAAGGATACCTACACTTATGTGTACCTACCCACATACAGACACACAAATATACACATAATTTTAAAAAAAATTAAGTAAGATATAAACAGAAATGGCATTTTGGAGCTAGGCTATAGCTCTGCAGCAGGTTAGTAGCCCAGCACACATAATACTCTGCCTTTAGGCCCTAGCAGCCATGCAAACAACAACAACAAAAATCTATGTTGTGCTCCCTCTAGGCTTGCTGGCCTGGGAATTCTGGTTAAGGCCTGAGAATCTAATACCCAAGGTCATAGGGAACAGAACAGGACTGTAGAGAGGTTCTGTCTCAGGTCTGCTGATTTGTATCCTCAGCTGGGATTCTTCAGGCAGCTCTGTTGGGGTCTGGGGGTCTCTGAAATAAGGCTATTTCCTCACTCCGCATTCCTTTAGGGCCAGTCCAGGTCTTCCAGTCATCCACCTCCAGAGATTCTTGTATATCTCTGCATATAGCCTCTGGTTTATACCTGTAAGAACTGGCTCCTAGGGGCTGGAGAGATGGCTCAGAGGTTAGGAGCACTGGCTGCTTTTCCAGAGGTCCTGAGTTTAATTCCCAGCAACCACATGGTGGCTCACAACCATCTACAGTGGGAATGATGCCCTCTTCTGGCTGTCAGTGCAGGTGTACATGCAGGTAGAATATTGTATACAAAATAAATAAACAGCCAGGCAGTGGTGGATCATGCCTTTAATCCCAGAACTTGGGAAGCAGAGGCAGGAAGATTTCTGTGAGTTCGAGGCCAGCCTGGTCTACAAAGTGAGTTCCAGGACAGGCTCCAAAGCCACAGAGAAACCCTGTCTCAAAAAACAAAAACCATTAAAAAAAAAAAAAAAAAAAAAAAAAGAAAGAAAGAAAGAAAGAAAGAAAGAAAAGAAAGAAAAGAAAAGAAAATAAGAAAAAGAACTGGTTTCTACGAGTCAGAGGTGGGGACACATGCCAGTATTCCTGTACTTTGAAGGCCCATGCGCAAAAAGGTTGAGTGCCAGGGTTACATATTGAGACCCTGTTGTCAAAACAAAACAAACACAAAACAGCTGGTGAAATGGCTCAGCAGGTAAAGGTACTTGTTGCCAATCCTAATAATCTGAGTTTGATACCCAGCCCCACATGGTGGGAGGAGAGAGAGCTGCCTCCTGAAAGTTGTCCTTGACTCACATACACTGACACAGTGGCACATGCACAATGAATAGATATAAAGAATTTGAAGGAAAAAAAAAAAAAAAAAAGAGGAAGAAAGAAGGGAGGAGAAAAGGAAGAAAGGGAAGGCAGACTAGCCAGAAAAACAGACCAAAGGGAAGACAAGAAACAAAGACAAAAGGAAACCAAGTGGTCCCTGCTGTGCTATGCCTTCCACTCTGTGACCTTGGCCAGGGTCCTTAACCTCTCCAGGCATTGTGCTGGCCTCAAAGACATGGGGCAGATATCCCAGGGTTCTGTGTGACAAGATAACACAGTCAGGGCCTGTGGGAACTGTAAATTGCTACAAAGAAGGGGATTATGCTCAGCCATGTGCGGTAGCGCACGCCCGTTAACCCAGGACTTGGGAGGCAGTGGCAGGGCCCAGAGTTCAAGGGTGACCTTGATTACGTGTGGAGCTAGAGTCCAACCTGGAACTCTGGTTTTAAAGCAACAAAATGCCCAAAGAAAAAGGAGAATTCAATCCCTTCCTACAATGTTCCTTTGACTTTTTTTGCACCTGTCTAGGCCACCATCTTTCTTCTGAGTGACATCCTATAACAGGTCTTTTTTTCACACAACAATCCTCCTGCCTCAGCCTTCTGAATGCTAGGATAAAAAGCCCTAAGGCTGAGTGTGTGGTTCACTCAT